TTTTTTTTTTTTTTTTCAAACTTATGTGTCAACTAATGATCTTTCGTAAATATAGGTGTTGGTTTTTAGTGCCTTTTAATTTTATGTCAATTTTTGGTACTTTAGAGTTGTCCATATAGATTTAAATCCCTATTCATGCGTATTAGGACTCTTAAAACTAGTATGTAACTAGTGCAATGCACAAAGATACATTATTACGATAAATTTGAACGTACATAACACAAAATATGATTGCTTCTTTGCCCTAAAGACCTCCTTTTTCTTCCAGCTGCGGCCCTGCCTTCTCTTGCTAGTAGCCCTAATCCGTCGCCCCTCACCTTCGACTGCAATTGAGGTAGGAGGTCCTGTCCGCCCTCCTCGCGCCGCGCCTCGAGGCCACTGTCGTGTGCGGGAGAAGGTATGCGGAGCCTTACGCCGTGCAACCCTTTCTCCGTCTTAGTTTCGGACAGCCGCTTCATCTTGCGCCTCCTGCCTCGTGCTGGTCGGATGAAGGTTTTCTAGTCGCTGTTCATCGTCTTTTTCAGGTTGATGGCCTCCTAGTTGGCTTTCGCTACCGGGTCAATCGCCCTCAGAATGCGCGGGCATGGGTTCTTCTGACTCAAATTTTCGAGCCGATCCCCTCGGGCCCTCTTATTCCCCTATTTGGCGACTTCGACAGCTCAGATCTAGACTAAGGCTTGCCTTTCCACCGGTTCTTTCTAGCCGCTTTTCGTGGAGTTGTCAGTTGAAGTTTGTTTAGCTCTTTAGGTGTTGATCGTGGGTTTGTTTTGTGCAGTTTTTGGCTTGTGCGTTAGTCTGGGTTTCTGCAGCGGGTTGCTCGCGGTGAGTAGGGGGAGGTGGTAGTTTATAGTTAGTTTAGGTGTGTGTTTAGTTAGCGTGAATTCTCCACTGGTTGGAGTAGGTATTCTCCACTTATGTAATACTCCCTTATGGGAGTTTAGTTTTTATGTGTGGATTAGTCGTCCAATGTCTGGTTTCATCACTATTTGCCTCTGTCGGAAAATTGGATTCCTCTTCCTTGTGTTTTAGTTTTATTTCATGACACTCCTGTTAGTGTTCCTCCAAGATTCCACCTTTTGGTGGTTATGTTTGACTATTTAGCCTTCGGGATCTATCTTGTAGTCACTCTTTTGAGGAATATAAGCTATCGTTTCTTAAAAAAAAACAAAATATAGTTTATTATGCATTGGTTAAAAGTGAGACTATATTATTTATTCTGACATATGAAGATTACAAATTTCTTTCAAGACATTTTCTTACCCTTTCTACCTCTCTTAGATAAAAGTAATAGACACAAAATTATTCTTATAGACAAAAATGATAAACTA